ATAATTTTGCTAGTTAAATTCATGAGCACTAAATGTCTGTTTCGTCCTAGTGTAAAACTCCTCAGTAGTGCGCATATACGATACTGCACGCTGGACTCAAAAACTACTGATGTTTATCAGAATAGGGTTGTGAAGATTGTTGAGTTTTATTTACGATCATAAACCGTAGATGCACATTGTTGAGCAGCCCTATACTAGGACAGGATAGCCACTCAATACTTCTAGGTATTCAATGGTTATCTAGATTAGATCGGCTGATGAATCTAACTATCAAAATTACTTCAGTCCCCACAAACCCTCATTTTGATTATCGTTTATTTTGACAATAAAAGTGATTTAAAACAAACAGGAAGTTAAAGTTACCTATAACCTCACTTAAAATGGAGAAACACACGAAACGCTAGTTTGAATAAGAGGCTTCATGTGTGATGATAAAAATATGAACATGCTCCGCGAAGCAACCCCTTGAAAACTGCAAGAGTGAGAACCCAGATACACTCCCACTTTTCTTCACCAAGACTTGCCCGCACTGTGAATGTTATCCCAGCTGAAGTGACCACAGTTGTCTCGGTGGTTAACTGTAACTGGAGACTTGAGAAACACGTACTCACCCACGAATTGTCATCTCTCTCTGGAACCAGCTGTCCCTGATGCATGTCTAAAAATTTACCCATTATTGTCACTGCCGCATTTCGGTAGCTGGTTCACGTGGCGCTTTTTTATCATATCTGCTGTCCCTTTTATTTTAACAGTTTATATAACTAATTGATTAATTAACCTATTTATTTATTTCTTAAAACAGCCGTCTACATTTAGAGCTTGAAATATCACTTTGTTATTTTTCATACTGTAACCAGCCGACATCCTGTTGGATAATGTGATGGCTACCGGAATTCATTAGCCCTTTAACTTTAATGACAAATACAGCTACTCGAGTTACAATATACGCAAATTTCCAAATACCTACTACACTGACTTGAACCATTTCATTCGAGTGACTAGGCTAATACCCATTGCATATTATAAAAGACCTGGCGCAGTAAAATCAATCACTTTATACAAGCTCGTGATAAAGGTATTGGATATTTGGTATTGAACGTGGAAAACAATGCTGCACATATTGCGCGCATGACAAATTATTAACTCTACAGTGTGCATAATGGACGTCACAATGAATAATCCGAAACCTTTTCTCAGTGGAATAACTGGGAAGCAGGTCATTGTTAAACTAAAGTGGGGAATGGAGTACAAAGGATACCTTGTTTCTGTAGACAGATATATGAATTTACAACTCCACAGCACGGATGAGTACATTGACAATTGTCATACTGGAAGTTTGGGAGAGGTTCTGATCCGGTGCAATAATGTATTGTATATCAGAGAGTGCGATGACGATCGATTGGATACTTTGTGATGACTTAAGGCTCAGATGTTGAATAATTGTAAAAATATTGCACTTTTCTATCCGTCCCCTGTAATAAATAATACTAACATTCCTTGTCTTATTTCTCATTCATGCTATCATGTTAATGTCATTTAAATAGTCATATTTGATGACCAGGCAAGGACATCATCTTTGATACTGGATATTTTAGTCATTATGATAGAAATCGATTATAGACCCATGAGTTCTAACTAGGTGTAGTTTAATTGTGACATATCCAATTTCTTGTGTTTAAAAGTGAAGTGTAGTGAGTTAAACTTATCCGGAGGCGAGTAAAACGATGAAATCGAGGGAAGTTAGGGGATTCGTAGCAATAGCTTGCCTTTACCACCTGGATTCTTGTTTGACTGGTCAAAACCCATCTGATAGCCGTTTGACCCAAGGACTCCTGTATTGTCGCTGTTTATTCTTAAACCTTCAAAAAATTACGAAAACCCCTCACCTTAACGTTCGTTGACACGTGTGTTGCTTCAGGCGATTAGATTCCATCCCTCGTAATCCGTGGTCACATTTAAAACCTCACTCATGAAAGGGCTTTGGTGTTGTCACTTGTAAAATCAATTTCATAGCGCCTATTTCACTGTACATGACGTCGTCATGTACTTTTAGCGTCAAGTTTTCTCGGCTTTTGCAGTTGATACTTATCATCGTTACGAACGCTGATGAGTCAGTGTTTTGTATTTTTATGATGCGATCAGTAAAGGAAGAGTGGCCATGAAACAATGTGATTTGATAGTCCACCTGATTACATAGTTATTGGATGTAGGACGTAAAAACTCCTAGCTTGATATCACTAATTTAATGTATATCACGATTGCCCTATTCTTAAATGGTTTTCTGTAGATTCTGCTTCAAAGAATAGTGCTAACAATGGTAAGTTTTAATTTAAAATTGCAAAGGTGCACCAATAATATGGTCGTTAATATAAATAATCGACGTTCCTCATCAATAATAACTGAGTAAACCGGGCGATGATTTGCCTGCACCATAATTTAATAAGAAGTCTCGTTATTATAAACTGCCTCATGCTATACATCGCTATGGTGAAACAACCAGTGATCATCAAACTAGTATGACGGAAACGATCTGTTTATTTCAGATAATGGCAGTTAAATAAGTGATTTAGTCTCTGATTTGTATTCTTGGTATATTACATAGAGTTCCATAGACAGATACTGACCTTAAGCAGGTGCTCGTAGTGGCAGCTAAACAATGGCTTAGTCGTGCTCACTAAATTGTCTGCTGATTAGAAGAAAAGCCCCAAACCCCGACCCTATGGTTTAGGCAACTGGGTAGCATCGTCAGCCCCCACACATTATGATTCATACCTAGGTACTTAGTGAATTTGTTATTGTCGTGGAGAAGTAAATGTACCCAACAACCCTATTCTTCAATGTCGCGATAACTGGTGAAGAGCAATGCTCAACTATCATTCTACACGAAGTTACAATTCGTTCCCTATTACAACGTCTCTAGAATGTTCTCATGGAGTTTTAAGCTGTTGGTATCATATCTTACAGTCGTTTCTAACGAAACAATCGTTAACAACTGACATCTACAGATTCATTGCTTGTCTGAGTAAATCCTTGAAAAGTTGCAGTCCATTTATACAGAAAATGTACTTTAGTGTGTCGTTAGTTGTGGTGGTCACGTGAAAAGCAACTAAGAACTTGCCCTAGAAAGTGAAGTAGCGTAGAACGATTTCCAGGAAACTTATGCTCATTAGACTAGTTATTTCATAACACTGTCATATATATCTTCCCGAAATATATATGATTTGCATTTAAATCACATGAGTTACAAATGTTCTCGCTTATTAATGTGTTCAAGTTTGGGATGCATAAATAAAACAAATACAGCATCTGTTTTTACTTGAGAAACTCTAATTTCTCGGTTATGATAGACAAAGACTGGTTTATTAGGACTATGAATGCGCTTCATGTTGATCTTACTTTTATCGTATATTGGGCCTGACCCGACCTACCACCTACAGGTAGTGTTCTTCGGATTTGATTTCTTTCATTCCGAAAGTTTTCCTTTGTTTACACCGTTTATCCACTTAATTAACAGAAGCTCTCCATGTTTCCTAATTTCTAGTCCGCCTACAAAAACCAATGCAGCTTGATACGTCCTTGTTTCATTGATTTAATTATCACTCTAATTCAGCTCAATATATGATCAATAAACTTGAGAATTCATAGATACATAAGTGTTAAATTTTAGGATCCTGCTGTACAGTTGATATCAGGATAGCGTTCAATAAACTGTAGACAGATTTAAAGACCAAATACTCGACCAGCAATACATTCTGTTAGAAAGGGACAATATTTTCTGCACTTAATGATACAAAACCTTCATATAAGTTGTAAAACCGTTTTCTAGAGTACAGTAAATGTGCACCGTAGATAACATAAATTAAAGAACTGAAAATCATCACAATTATTCCAAACTGATTACGCTCTAACAAATTATTCATAAATAACTATAAGGTACTTTCGATAATAATTCTCTTAATCAGTAATACAGTGATGTTTTCATCTAAAAGTAATTCAGAATAAATACCGTTTTATAAACGATTGCTAATGTACAGTTGAAATTAATTATCATTAAGCTACCGAAGTTCTAGATGTCAAATATAGCATTTTATTATTGCACTCGTTTCTATAAATTAATTAAGAATCTGACCAACAACTTCGTATAATCACTACCATTTTACTTAGAACTGAAGATCTAAACAAAATAAATGTAAATGATCTTAATAATGTATTAGTCATTAGCTTTTACTCGATTTTCTTGGGAATAATTTCGAAGCATTGCTTAATCAATTATATCTCTAAACCAACTTTACACCGAACTAAGTAGTTTATCACTACTTAACGTTGGGAAATAAGAAATTACTTACGCACTAATAATAACGCATCTCACCTAATACATAAGTATTAAATTCAGTGTCTATGATTCCCAGCAGCTAAAGAAAGTTATTTTTCACCTGATGAGTCATCAGTTGACACAGCATAAAATATCAAAATAGGTTTGGTAATTTTATAACATTTCAATTATACTCCAGATATCTTAGTCTTCCACTGATAGATATCAGAATGTGAGAAAGCGAATGTATTGTTTGCTGACAAATGGACATTTCTAATCAGAAGATATTCTGAAACCATTCTCTTTTAAATTAGCGATACGCGCTGTCCAATGTCATTGTTGCAATAAAGATATTACTTGTGAGTAGCAGTAGCTTATCAGATCAAATATTCCAACTGGATTATTGAATCTTAAATGATTTATTCTACCGGAAAGACTTTAATCTTTTTGCAACTTCATCAAGTCAACACTTCATTTTAGTCATCCTACACGTTATTTTACAATCTTAAATTCATATACTATAGCTTTTAAAATGATGTATTCTGCCGTAAGCCTGATCACTTTTTGGATTAATTTGGATATATAGTTGTCGAACCTGTAGAGAATTTATTGAAAAGTATATTCTTCGTATATACACATATGTTTTAATATATTGGGGATATTTCAGCGATTAAAAACTCATTCTATTAAAATTGATACCTTTATTTCAATTGAATTAGACTATTGTGTAAAGCGATATCTCAAATGCATTTCGTCGACAATTGGAGTTAAAAATCAAATAATAATAATAATATCCACCGAAAATATTGCACAGTATATGACAACCATAATGTATGTATACAGACGTATGAAAAAAAAACAATTAGATTAAAATAATAGCCATTGAAAAATAAATAATTCATCAGGTAGAGAAGAGAATAAAATGATCAACAATTTGAAAATATAATTCATACATTGATAATAAATGCACTCTGAATTATTTAAATAAATTATTAAATAGAAAATAGTTATACGCATGTTTACATGAATATGGACGAGTTCAAAATGAAAAGAAAAAAATGGGTTATCCAGTAAACTTTTGGAATAAATGGAAGCAAACTTTTAACCTACGTATGTATACAACAGTAAGTTAAATTGGCCAGATATTTGTTTATATAATTTACAAGGCACAATTTTTTTTAACAGATTCTGAAGAAAAAGACTGATGGGAAAGTCATGGGATTATATATATATATATAACCTTAATAAAATGTTCTCCGCTAAAGCAGTTCAACAGTTTAGAGTAAGAAAACAATCTAAAGGAGACAATTTTGTTAAGGTTATTACTTTGACTTTATTGTTAGTTTAAATCAGATAGGCTTTTATTGTTTACATGATAATGTATTGATTTTGTCCAGCTTTACCACCTGATGCGGTCGCCGCAGCTACAGCAGCTGCTCGACCTACTGTATTTGAATTAGCACGAACTGAACCGCGACAAATAACTAGTCGTTCACGACTACCTGTCAAATGAGTATTAACAACATAAGCTGACAATGTGATAGGAGTAGGAGTAGAAGTTGTGGAATTAGGCAAAACATCAGAAGATAAACCATCAGTCATATTTGATATTAATGTTTGTTCTAAAGGAATAGGTTCTTGTCGGAAATGTTCCAACATCTCTACGATTGAATCAAAAGGTAGGTGTTGAACTCTACAATGACCATCTGGACTCAAAGTCATTCTTAAATGCTATATACAAAAAGGAAGAAATAATTTCGTGAAAAAGGTGATGAAAAAAATTTGCGGATAAAAAAGTGTATTGAGAATATCAAAGATATTTCCCAATAAAGTTTGATTTATTTTGGAGAACTATGTACGCATACAAGAGTGTAACAATTAGAAAATTTCAGTAGCGAACTAAGCGCGAATGTGTGTAACGCACGGCACTTATAATTCGAGAGGGAGAGAAAGTCAATGGGAAATAAATAAAAATACACGAAATGATATTCATAAACCTAAATTATAAGCCAAAATCCTATATCTATAACATGTCACTGACGATGTTTTAATTATTCTTATGCTTAGATAGTCAAAGTATTTTGTGGACCGTTCTACTTTGTATAATAAAGATATGGGAAACTGAATGATGTGGTCCAAAAGGGCCAGTTCAAAGTTTTACTCCAAGTTTCATTTGTTTGCAAGAAACCACAAAGGTTTATCTGAATATTGAACAGAGAGGTGATGAATTCATCAACACACAAAAATAGTTATAGATAAACATTGTACAAAAGAACTGTAATTCAAAAAATCACTTTTACTACACTAAAAGAATGATGAACCCTATGTTCTGTCCACCTTCCGTAAAAACCACCACACCTATGATCCCCAAAACCGGAAAGCAGGTCATTCTGACGTTAGTGGAAATGTTTCAGAAGCTATCACAGTCAGTTGACGTGGGACTTGAGATATGTGTGGACCTGTCAAGTTGTCAAACCACATAGGTATACGGAGATTATGTATATTATTAAACCACATAATAAGAAAAATACCAAGGTAGTCAAAGAACTGGTATCAGTGAAATTGATTAATCTATAAACGTGATATCCACCAACCATGTAATTAGTTAGCATTTAAGCAAGTAATCGGTAGTATAACCTTCATAGATTACGTCAGAGCTATAAAATAATTCATTAATAGTCAGTTAATTGTGTAAACAAATCCACAGTGACTTACTTGAAGAGTTCAACAAGTGATGACTGATCAAGTAATTTACTTTACAAAATCATTATCAAACACCAGGCTATTAGTACGATGTCAATTGTCTTTCTTAATAGGGGACTAATGATTTTAACGTGAAAGAACTTTTTCTACAACACAAATAGATAAAATAATCTAAAACCTATTTAGAGTAGTGCCTTAATTCAAAAATCCAAAGTGTTTTAATTAAATAAATACGTGAACACAAATGTTGTGAACAGACAAGTCGTTCATCATTCAGTCCATAGATAATTATTAGCATACAGTGATATAATCAACAATCAGTCCTTTTTCGTTTATCGACAATTTATAAACAGATTTTATAAGAGTCAGCATATACTGTACAACTATTAAAACCAAATAATAGTATGTATTGAGATTGTAAAACATGAGTTTCAGAGTTATATGAACAAAGTGATATGATTCTGATCAATAAATTATACTTAAAATGCAACACAGACAGATAAACAGTCAAAAGTGATCGACTGTACTGTTTTATTTTAGTGTTGAATAATGACATTACCACATACACTAAACCCTATCGCTTTCCAATATCACGAATTAATGTATTTCGAAAATGATTTCTTGTAGCTCAGGAAACGAAACCACCGATAACAATGATCTTGTGGTTTAACCAATTTAAAGTCAGTTCAACTTTAATCTTATTCGTTGAAAAAGGGAACGAAAATAGATCTATGACTCATGTTGTAGACCGATTCTTAACGTGACTCAGGAACCAAGCATAGAAACGACTTTGAGCTACAGTCTCAGTGTACGAGGCAGTAATACTACCCAACAGCTTAATCCGAAGTTGGTCAGTCAGTCAGCTACAACGTAGGACCAGGCACATATATGCATCGGTCCAGGCTGCCATACCTCATTAGCACAGCAAGATGAACACCGGATTCATAAAAGTAGTTAATTCAGAGGTGGTAATATATAAAAGAAAGATTCCATATAAGGATATAGTACAGAAAGAAGGAATTAGTTCGTAGAAAGAAAGATATGAAGCAATTTTAATCTCTTAGTTTAAGGGAGAACAGAAAGTATATACACCTACATCATTGTGATCGATTCTGAGCCATGTCACTAAGAGTCTCCAACCATTGGTTACGATAGTCATGCGGACCTCAACTAAGTAGTATTATTAAAATAAATAATTATGTTAAAGTAATATCATGTAGGATTTTAAATAAGAATAAAATTAATTTTTTTATTAAAAGTTTATAACTTGGTTAATTTTTTATGTTTTGGAGCATTGGCATATTGATTGTTTCATTCGACTATTGTTAACTAGGTGAAAAGTTCAAAATGCGTTCTACCGGATTTAATTTGTATAGTCTAGTAATATCATTATCCTTTACACATAATGTATGATCTAAAGTTGAATATATGAATCTGTAGCTGGTAAATAAATAACATCTATCCAATTTTTACGTATCGATTCGTAGGTGCTAAACAAACAGATAATATAATCTTAAGGTTTCCAGTGAGGATTGATTTTTATTTTAGTAAAATGAGAAATATGATTGTTGAGATGAGTTTTTGATTCTTAAAGTTTAAGTGAAATTAATAGTTCAAGAATCATCAAATTAATTTTTGAATAAAAAATCAAAGTTTATTATTCATACAGAAAAAACCCATTCATCCATGTAATTCAGTAAGGAGTATAAGATAATACTGAAAATTGTTAATAAAAAAGACCTACCAAACAACCAAACATATAAATTCAAAAAGAATGAACCAATTTTATTGAGTGAAATAGAGAGTGTATACACCGACGTCATTGTGATCGATTCTGAGCCATGTCACCAAGAGTCTCTAACCATTGGTTACGAAAGTCACGCGGACTCCAACCAAGTAGTCTGGATCTACCAACATGGCTCAGACTAGAAGTTAGTGACTTGAAGCACTGATGCCACGTTCTGGTTTGGCCGTCCCTTACTTTCTGCCAACCATCTCCGACACCGGTTTGCATTGCACGTCGTGGTAATTGGTGTTCAGGCATACGTAACACGTAGCCCAACCACCTTAGTCGATGAAAATTCACAACCTCATCAAATGATTTACCATCATTCCCTAATACCCTGTGTTTGACCTCACTATTACTTACCCAGTGATCCCAGCAGACGCCAGCAATATTTCTAAGACATCTGTGGTCAAATATTAGTAGCTTACGGGTGTCTTCTACTCTTAAAGGCTATGTTTCGCTACCGTAAAGTAAAACAGAACGGACTGCAGCGCAGTATACTCGTCCTTTTATTGATAGACGGATATCTCACCTTCGCCAAAGGTGATGTAAGTTGGCAAAAGCCAAACGAGCTTTCCAAATCCGTGCTGAGATTTCGTCCGATACCAACCCATTAGGGCTGATCAGACTTCCAAGATAAGTGAAGTTGTCAACGCGTTCGACTACTTCACTCCCTATCCTTAATTCAGGTGTTGACGCAGGCTAGTCCTGAAGCAACAACTTGCATTTAGAGGGAGAGAAGCGAATTCCAAACATTCTGGCATTGTTGCTTAGTGCTACCAAAAGACTATGCATTTTACCAGCGTCTTCACCAAACAGGACTATGTCATCTGCGTATTCTAAGTCGATAAGTGGACCTCCTGGAAGGAGATCAATACCCGAGAATTCAGCAGACGAGAATGTTATTTCCATCAATAGGTCTATGATGAAGTTAAACAGAAATGGAGAAAGTGGACAGTCTTGACGGACACCACTTGAGGTTGCAAAAGCAGATGGCAGTTCGCCATAAGCTCTGACTCGACTGGTAGTGTTCGAGTAAAGAGCCTTCACAAGGTTTATGTACTTCTGAGGTACGCCTTTCAATGACAGATACTGCCACAGAATCTCGCGGTCTACCTAGTGAAATGCTGCTTTTAAGTCAAGAAAAACCACCATTGTTGGATGCCGAAAGTATGCCTGCATTCTAGAACCTGACGAATGGTGAATATGTGGTCCATGAAGCCAGCCTGACTTTCTCGTGTTTGCAGTACACGAGGACGTTAGACGACTCTCTGTGTTCGATCATCGCTGTCCCCGATGGATTGCTGACATTCATTGGCAACACCATGTCAGTAATGCAGAGGTTCGGCATCGTGTGTTCGGGCTTAGAGATGATAATTCAATTGGTGTCACCATCTTGAAACACCGACTTCGGTGGCTTGGACATGTTCTCCGAATGTCGTCCCAGAGAATTCCACGTGGTGCATTATTTGCCGACTCTGGGACTGGTTGGAAAAAGAGGAGAGGTGGTCAGTGCATGACATGGTGTCGTGGCATGAAAGAAAGCTGCAAAGGACTGGCTTCTGTTGGTCCTTCACGATTCCCTGGTTGAGGTCTGAGAGATGGTGCTACACAATGGCTAGAGACGTTATCAGATATGGCTCAGAATAGAAGCCAGTGGCGATCCTGCTGTAACCTTCTTTTACTTTCTTCATAAAAAGTGGTTGTGTCTCCTTTAACTGAAAGATTTCTTCTGATTGTACCTTTCCGTTCCCTCGTTACTGCCACACTACCTTACACTAATCTCTTCGTAATCGTTCTCTTTTTCTTTTGCGCTCCTTAGTTTTTTTTCTATCTCTCTTCGAATTTTCGTTGTTTTGTGTGGCGCATAAATATTGGCGCTCTCTTGTACCAATATTTATGTGTTCAAATAAATAAATAGTACACGAGCTTTAATTAGGCGACCGATAATTATTGAGGCTAGTATTTTAGGTGCTATGTTAGTCAAACTAATCCCTCTATGGTTGTCACATGATGATTTTGACCCTCTTGTACATATTGAGACGATCAGTGATTGTGACCAGTCAGATGGGATTACGTCCAACTCCCAGATTTTAGCTAAAATATTCGTCAACCTAAGCGCTAAAATTAGACCACCATCCTTAAAAACATCTGCAGCCAATCCATCTGGACCAGCTGTCCTTTCTCATTTCAGACTAACTATATCCTTTTGAACTTCAGCTCAAGTTGAGAGACCTACTACCATTCGCACTGTCTGGGAATGGTGGGTAGTTGTAGAGTAGCTGAAGGCCAGCTGAACTGTTCCTTAAAATGTCCCGCCCATCGTTCTAAACGTCTGGACTGGGAGCAGATGAGAGTATCGTCTTTTTCCAAAATAATCTCACTTACACTTGACTTATTAATTCCAGTCTATTTTATTAGCCGTCTTGTGTTCCCTATAGCCGCAGCCTTTTCTATCTCTTTTGCTTTCGTTACCCACCACTGCTCACGGTTACTTCTTAGACTTTTGCTTAACCTAGATCTGATTTGTTTACGCTCTTCATCGTGTTTAGAACCTGATGGGATGAGTTTGCGAGAATCCATCAGTGCAATAGGCCTTGAAGAAATCCATTCGTTCTTTGTAACCCTGTGGTTTAAATCACTATAGATGTCACTGCTGTTTCCACAGCTGATGTTGAATTATGGTTAAAACTTATGATCGAGTGGTTGAAATTTGAGTGCTTTAGCAAAGAAGCTTTGCTTTCTAAGGATTTAATAAACTAATTTACTTATTTAAGGAATAAATACTTCACTAGAACAACATAATTTATGAGGTCGCCGTGCCACAAACAAAAACATTTAGGTGACATCAGTAACGAAGAGGTAGTAGTCCCCTAAGGAAATCACCTCTGTTGGTTTGGGCACACGGAAAGTATTCCCGCTCTCACACAAATCAAATGATCTGTGGCTCAAATATATTTAGTGACTCCATGTATCAATGTTTATGTGTTTAAATAAATATAAATAAATAAATGAAGTTTAAAAAACAGACATTTAAAATAACCTGTAATTACACAATCCAGAAGTGACTACAAAGTGTATACTCACCTTAGGTTTACCATGACAACTAAATGTTAGGACGAATTCACCCTGTTTTGTTTCACTTTGACGCACAAGAAATACACCATCTGTAGTTGGCAAAGCAGGTGGCATATTCGATAAGTCAGTAGTATTTTGTTCAGAGTTAAAACTTATTCCAGAAGCTTCAGGACAAGTTAGATGCTGTTGTGCAGTACCGTGTTCAAACTCCGAAAGTTGACCCAATACATAACTAGCGGCTCGAACTCGTGAAAGCGTTCCATGATACCATGGGTAAATAGAAAGCTGGTGACCAATTACATCTTCAAAACCAGAAGTCAGTGAGGGAATACGTGACAGGTTGTTTGAAGAATTAAAAACAGAAAACGCTCCACTTCGAAAACTATCGACTCTTGACTGATTTGTATTAGGTGAATTAATTTGTTCTAGTAAAGTATTGTTTGTCAAACTGCATAGCCTATTGCTTTTATCTGGTCTGCTAATCGAGTGTAATGAAACGGGATGAGAGGAAGGCGATGTATGCCGAAATCCTGAGGCGAAGGTAGGTCGCGATGGAGTAGGACAGAGAACTGGAAAAAATGTAATACAAATAGTAGTGATTACTTGGGATTAAAAAGTTAGAAGGAAATGAATCACTTTTACACAAATAGGTTACAGTCCCAATCTCAAAAAGTAATGAGGAAAACAGCTAATTCATATATGAATATGTAAAAACTCAGTATTTACAATTTATTTATTGATATATGCAAAAACAACTAACATGATGTGGTAACCAAGTAGAGCTTTGTACACTTGATTTGAATCACACTTAACCGAGCACTAGACAGTTTTACTTGGATTCTAGGTGGGATTCGGTACTAAGAGATATTGAGGGATAATAAACCAAATAATACATGAGAGGACTATGAAGATATAAGATTTACCAGATATGAAGTGCACAATACGTTAGTTATTCCTTGTCATTAGCACAGGAAACAAATAAACCGATTTAAAGCGATTGCTACTGACTTAATGAGGTAGGCGACTGCTTCTTTACGCATAGATATATACATTATATCGGTTATCATAAACGAAAAATCGAACTACACCATTAATATATCGCTCATAAACTGATCACTTTAGATCTTAATTCACAAATATCCTGCACCATTTTGTAGAAAGAATGACAACTAAGGATTATCATTTGATGATAAATCAATTAGAACTTATACTGAAATCTCATAAAAACTTGAATTTTCGATGGAAAATGCCCCGACATCTAGCATATTTGATAGCATAATTAAAATATGAGTTTGAGAGGGGTTTCCATTCTGAACAGTATTGTTGTTATTATTAACTAATGATGGAACTTATTGGAGGGGAAGTAGGAAAATTTGTTGATGAAGTCCTGCAACAATGTGAAGTTTGTTTAAAATATTATCAGGTAAAATTTAAAAGCAAAAACACTGATTATTTTATTCAAGTTTAGCTTGTATTCAGGCAAACTTTTAACTCAAACATTTTATTACTATTTATTTCTATCAATACACCTAACATTTACTTGAATCGTAATAAAATTTTCATCGGATTTAGCCTGATGGTGTTTCATGGTTTTAATAATTAAACAAATAACACACTATAGTCAGTTAGATATCATATAATAGAGAGGATACAAGAGTAGGCAGTGTGAATAGACAAACAATAATGAGAGAGAAAGAAGAATCAAACATACCATTAGCAGAAGGTTTTATAAATCCATGAGAAGATATAGTATTATTCGCTGTAGTAGTGCATCCATCTGATTGGCTAAGATTCATACTACAGTGGTAGCCAACAAAATAAAATATTCAAGTTACAAAATCTATAAAACTAACATTTATATTGTTGATTAACTTTAGACATTTAAATTAGTTGTTTCCACTGCAAAACATTTGCCAAAGAAAATGACATTGTAAACAAAAAATCAATCCTAGAAGAACGGATTTTGATCAAATATCGTTAACTTCCGTTTCGTAGCCAAGACTAATTTCAATCCTGCTTTTCACGTAGTGACGAAGGTTGGTAAAGAAATAAAATAGAGGAATGGATAAATTTCACACTCAGCTATAAGAACGCATCTTAACCCACAAATATACTTAGAATATGATGAATGAACAGTATATGTACAGATGAGTTTAACTAAATGACATGTTTTCCCTGAATACCACCCAGATTGTGCCACCTTAATTCTAGATCAGAGCGATCGTGACAAAATTGGTGACAGAAAACAGAGAATATAAAACCGTTTCACATTTTATCTATTGAATACTAACTTTGAAGTCAAAATGAGAAAGGCCACTGGTAATATGAAATAATTACAGCAGTGGGACTATACTGCACAGACGACCTTGAGCGGTTCTAAAAGCACCCTTGCAAACCAGAAAGTAAGTGATGTGAAGGGATAGTATTTTACAGAGAACGAAAGAACTAGAAAAGAGTAAAAACCTTTTATACAACCCAAGAACTGGAAATATTTCGAAATCACTTTTACTTTTTTTTACTTACTCCTGTTATCCCGAAATTTGGAATCACAGATGTAATTCAAACATTCGACCACATAGCTTGAAAACATATTACTCCTAGAGTCATAAAATTATATTTCTTCAGTCGTCACAATATCGCCCAAACGTTATTCGTGTAGACACTTATTAAGGTGTCCACAGTGTCACATATGCGCCACAATGTGATGAATGTAACCAAATCTCGATAGACACTTGTAAGCTTTCCAATCATGGGTCCGTGGTTGGATGTACGCCCTGATGATAACATGAAGGTTAGAGTCCATCGATTAATCACGTATTGAAAACGCCTCTCTTGAAGAATTCTACCATAAATTCCAGAAATCTGCTGGTGGAATTTATGGAACTATTCAATAGCCTAAATTCGGAAATATAATGAATACGTGTTTCCCCTCTTAGACCTTTATTAGGATTCGAAACCTTATCTAACGATAGTTTTAATGTTCCTTTATTGTGCAGTTAATTGTAATAACTTAAAATGATGCACATTTTCAAAATATCTTGAAGTAACACTTCCAAACGAAAATGCAATTATCAGTGTGCAATTGTGGAGAATGTTAAGCTTTTTATTGAAATCATGAACTGATGAATGTTAGACCACCATCGAAAACTTGGAAGCACTGGAAGGCTAATCCGTGTCAGGTAGAGACAAGTATCTGCGTCAGACAATAGAAGACGGTCGCGCAATTTCGTGGATTGGTTGAAGTTAGACATTGACATCTCTAGATGCAGACACAGTGGTCTAGAGGTTAGGCGTTTGCGCGCGAAACCGAAGGTCCTGGGTTCGAATCCCGCGTGCGGGATCGTGGATGTGCACTGCTGGGGAGTCTCATACTGGGACGAAACGGCCATCCAGTGCTTCTAGGTTTTCAATGGTGGTCTAAAATTCATCGATTCATGATCCCAATCGAAAATGCAATTGGTAATCTCAACTAACGCTATCAACAAAATTGTTTAATTGTACTAGAATACTGACCGATTAAGAATCAACTTTAATTTAGGAGGCGAGTTTAATTAATTAAATATATTTAGAAAAATGGTTTTTTAGTTTACAGTGTTTGATAAAGAACTACTCTTGGTTGCTTAAGACTGTTAGTTCACTTATAGTTAGTAAACTGAATACATAAAAGTAAACAGTGTCTGTTGTGAAAATTTTGTAAAAATGGTTTACCTATGATTTGTAATGGGACGATCAGATTTAGTGGAGGCAGACCAAACATCCGGTACACTAGTGACATGGCTACAAACACATGCAAATGTTGATATTGGAGTGGAGTTTGCTGAGTTATCTGTACATAGTAGTTTGGAATTTGTAGAATGAAATACTGATGTGTCATGAACCTTTTTATGGTCAGATCCAATGCATAATTCATTTGTATCAGTTTTGTTTGGTGGTAAAGGGACTGAGGACAGTATATCAGAGGGTGATTTTGAACTAGAATCCAGAATCGCATCACAGTTAGTGCATCGTTCAGATCGAACAAAAGCTACTATACGACTAGGGTCAATGTCACATTTAGAAGAAACAGGATTCCTGCGCAATGGTGGCAAACCACTACGTATAGCAGTGATCCATTCGTTGGCATCGATTTCATCCGATGACTGAAAAATCTTTTGGTCTCCGAATTCGGTCTGCAAGTGAAACGGTGAAGATATTACACATGACAATATCAATAATCTCAAAAATTTTTAAAGTAAGGAAAATAATTTACACATATTAAGGAAGATTAGCAAAGAGACGAAATATGTTGTAGAGACTAATGTCTTTGTATTATACACCGGGTGTAAGACTTAATGATATTAAATGTACTAACCGGATGATTTCAATCACTCATTAATTTATCTAGGCTCTTAGGCAGCAGGTCTTAAAAGAGAACCCTGTCGTACCTACTTCACTCTGTGCAGTCAGTTAGCGACCTGCTTGAGCATCTGGGCTACCTGTTCCTGCCATCTAGATATTTCAACAAGTTATCTATTTTTGTTTGTTTTAATATCTTATTATGTTTATTAATCTCATAACCTATTCTGCTGCGTTTCTGAAAAGTGTACAAACTTTCGTTGACAAAGTTACAAAAAACTCAATAACAGACAATGTGGTTGCTGGCAATATACAGCGAAAAGAATGCACATTATTCAGATGTTCATTTAGTGAACTGCTAACATCTAACTGGTGATCACTCAATATTTATCGCCAAGACCGACCAAGAAGAAAGAAACGGAAACTTGTTGAAATACTTTACGCTGAGAATTAAATATTGTATCAAAAATAGCGAGTTAGTTTTTTACGGGATGGGGATGCTAACCCCATGCCCAACCCTTCTCCTTTATCCGGGCTTGGGACCGGCAGTAGCCCCCGGAGCGACTCCAGGCGGAGTTTGCTGGAGAGGTCAAATCAATCTTTGTTAAACGATATACAAATTAGTCTTGCAATTCATTGTTCAAATCAGTAGCAACTAAGTACAAGTGATCATTTGAATTTTACAACGATTTTAAATTTACATTTTATTGAGACTAAATAACTATTAAAAATGTATGAAAACGTGAACTAAATTCTCTGAAGCTTTAAAGTTCGAATTCTACTGGTTTGATAAACATCAATACTACTGAATGAATCATTCCGAAAAAACATGAGCTGATATTTACAGGGATTTATTCAGATAATGGGAAAGTTTATATTAAATTTGTTGTTAAACTGATTTCTTTCTTTTAGTTTTGACGTTTCTCAAAAATACTGCAAAATAATACTATATTTAATTATTAAGCCAGAGGGTAATACAGATACTGAATTTCTGTTCACGTTAAATTAGAATGCATAATCTGGCACAAGCCCCTAAATGGTACGGCCGAGTGGGGAGTCCGCTCTCCACGAAATGCTCTCACATGACCACGCGCATATAGCTTCTGCCAGGGAATTTCTACTCACTGCATTCTCATGGCGGGGGTGTTGTTTACGGAATTGGGAGGACGAAAAGCGAATGTCCGGTGCTTGAACGGGGTTGGTGGACACTGAGTCCACCTAGGGGATTTGGAAAATCCGGATTCCAAACCAATGGTGTACATGGGCTCCAGTATCCTGAGGGAATAAATGGTGTATGGACCAACTGTTGGTCACCGGCTACCATGGGATTGCATCTCCTTACGATGCTCCACTGCCTTGTGTATCAGACCTTTAGGTCGAAGAGATTTGTGTGGTGCATATGTATCTGGTGCCCCCTTATACCAATATTTATATGTTCAAATAAATAAATAATCTAGCACAATGCATTTATTGAAATCATGTGTTAGCGACAGATTTTAAACCTATCTTGACCTGACAACTTTTGAGAATTTTCAAATCAATTCTTTATTAATGATGCCAAAGTATATTCGTCTGTAATCTATAAACTTTTAAAGATTTACGTAACTTCGAGATGAAATCATCTATTATACGTTTTCTCATTATGAAAGTTATCGTTTTCACCAGTAAGATATCTTTTTATATCATCAACACAATTGAGATACCTTCATGATTGTGTTATTTCTGAAAAATGAAAATATTCCTTAAAAAATGAGACGCTTTATGATAAAAAAAAGATGAACGTTGAATATTAAAGTACACTCCTAATTTTTTTAAGCTTTATTAACAATGTTTTGTTTCACTTCAATAGTACTAACAACAAAATTGATAATTAAACAGCTTAAAGTTGATGCCTTTAATTTAACTTTCCATGCCAAATTCTTATATTACAAATTCGATGGCTCAATAACTCAATGTCACTAGAATTATGAGTAACTATTTTATGAGCATTTAGAAATTTCCCAAAAAAGTCACTCAGTTATTCTTCAGTATTAATCTGGTATGATGACTACCAGAAGTAAAACACCTGTGGATCTGTATGAAGTCTCATTGTTATTCGATCGTAAACTGTTGTAGATGGAAATCTCAATATTGGTATCTTGCACAAATGATTATACGAGGTATTAAAATCTCTTTTGGCGTTAGTTATTCAAAGGATATTAGTAACAGTTAAACGATATCATGATGACTGTCAAAGAATCAGATGATTTAAAAAAGCTTGAAACAACAGTGAAATGTGATATTATATAACGTATTTGTGTTTCTTAACTCATGAAATCAGGTTTACTTAGATTATACCAATAATTCCTGTTGTTTTCTGTATTGGGGTGGTACCGGATGCAGCCCAAAGCCATAGTTAGCAAAGATTGTGCCAAGGCTTTTTTGTGTGTTTTAGATTTAAATTAAGGCAATCCAATTTCAATTATTCGCAACCAACTAAAATATCAATAACGTTCAGAGCACTTGAGATGTGTTATTTTAAATCACAGAATAAATGAATTTCTGAGTAATATTTCTTGCTGAGGGAATTATTACGACTGGCAAGATACTACTACTAGGAGGGCGAATTCGATGGAATTAAATACACTGAGTAGCTCGATCAATTGTGAGCAACATAGAGCCTGGGATATGTGCACCGGTGTAAGTTCCTATACGATTTCATCCCAGTGTGGTGAAATTGCCAAGACAAGCACAGATAGGTAGAAGTAATAACAGTATCAATGTTAGTAAGAAAGACTAAGTGTAGACATGATCCGATAAGCATTGAGTGATTATGAGTAATGGCAGCACAAAGATGACACAACCACATGAGTCAGTACTCTACACACTTACCCTACCCTAGACCGTAAACAGGGTCTCAAATTCAGACTTAGAACCATTTGAACTATTCCCAAAAAGAATGACAGATTGAAAAGCCTGGCAAAAATATGTGTCAACACTAATAAGATAGTATGCACTAACCAACATTGGTCATTCTGATAGTTAACGACTTTGAGACTGAACCTGTGTCTTGGTTTGTCCACCCTTAGTTTTCTTCCAGTTTGATCCTGCTCTTGTCAACACTGTGCGCTGAGGTAGCCGGTGGTTGGTCATACGTAATACATGTTCCACCACCTCAGTCTCAGCAATTGTCGGTAGCAAACTGCACAGTTCCATACTAATAAGTGCTTGATCGACTGAATACTTAGACAAGAAAACAGTTTGAGGATAAATATGGTTAGTGACACGAAAACATATGCCGCTACCATGACACTCATTGTTCTACACCCATTTTAATCACATCGATTTTCTTGATGTAATAGTGTGGTTGGAAAATAACAGTTACGATACCAACATAAAAGTGACAGATTTTAGAATTTACTTAATCTAATTGGATTGGGTGCTGAAAAAACGACAAATCTAAGGACTAGACTTTTTACGAGTAAAACTCACTTTAACAAGTAAAACGTTGTTCCGAGGGTCTGTAAGTTCATCAGGACAGACCAATCGAACGTCGAAAATAAGACCACAGCACAGACCATACTGGGACTGTTCAGCCTAATTTTGACGTTAAAAAATTACAGATTACATATATTTTAGATGAAGAGAATAGATTTAAAGTGAAACCGAAACAGAACAATCATATTACTTAAGTATAACTAAGCAATAAAGTCCACAACCATAGAATCTACAACATTCATTCAAAAAATAGTCCACTCAATCATCAGAATCAAAGCTAAATTTGTAATTAACTCCACTAAACCATTTAACCTAATAAATTGTATAACCAGATTTTCGGGTTACTTATTATGCAACCATGTAACAATTCTGCTGAATCTCGCTATTTCATATGATCGAATGTGGCAAATGTGAACGTAAATCGCACGACTCACTTAAAAGAAATCCACGATATATCGTGATGTTAAATACCAGGAGATCCAACAGGAAGCACCACAGTAATTAGTATATTTTCCTTCTTATCTTTTCTTTGGAGATACAGGGGAAAGAATGACATAGAATAAGTATATTTTGCAGTGCGAAAGTGATCAAAAAATTTTACGGTTGAAGATGGATGGCTGATAAACACTGTTGAAATACCTTTTAATATATTATTTGAACACTTCCAAATGAGATATGTGTTAAGGTGGAATTTATAGCAATATCCTGCATTTTGAGTTAACGATTCCTGATTATACCTGAACAAATTAAGCAACAGCACGCTTATGGTGGAAATTCTGTTCGATCTAAGCGATATCAAGTCACTGAATGGTCGAAAATTGAATGCTACCACTGAATACGAATACTGAAAGTTTTTCTGAAACCACGTGCGCCATTCAAACTGACTTACTTCAACTTCTCCACACTAATGCAGATCGGACAACAGATAGGGCTGGCTATGTCCTTAGAAAGTCTTCCCATTCTCATTGTTATTGCGTGGAGCATATATATCTGGTGCCTCCTTGTATTAATATTTATGTATTCAAATAAAATAAAAACCGCTAATTTGTAAGATCTCGAAGACGACCATTCGGAATTTTTCAGTTCCCTATACAATCTAGACAATATCCTGCTAGCTTCATGGATAAATACCATACACTGGCTTTTGAAAATTTGGAACATGTTCTTACACTGGTTAACAACTCATGATCGGAGTAGCTCAATATGTACAGTATGTTTTTCAAGTCTGAGCTCGTGCATGTTCATAAATACACCAACTGAACAGGATGGTTACTATGAATACAGGGGGAAAAGACGACAAAATCTATGAAGATAACTAATTGCAAACGAGGACATCAGGTGGATTTGATTTATCACCTGTGGAATATCAATAACCATAGATCTAACTTCAATATGACCAACTCAACGGCTCCAACCCATAACTCAGTGGTGCTTAAGAGAAAATGGCAACCATATCGCTTAATTTTAAACATCAATGTGAATATTTGAGGTATTATAGCAGCCACTTTAGTTTTACAAGTTTTTAAACCCCAACAATGACATCACCAGGTTTGATTCAAAGAACCTCCAATCTACCAAAGTAAAAAGTTAGAATAAAAGGTTTTAATCAATCTGGTTTGAAATTAAATGAAAATCACATAAACCCGTTAACGATTCATGAGACTCATCATATTATCAAGTATTTTTGATTTATCTAACAAAAACTGTTGCTGAATGACAATTATCATGTGAAATATATCAGCAATAAAATTCGACGGTGTAGGTAAAAAGTCCATTTAATCTACACGATCATACAACCTATCTATCCGCACACAATAAGAACATGAGTAGCTCGACATACAAACATAATATCTGCTAATAAACGTAAATCACACGAAAAGAAGCCTAGTCATAGACTTACTGGGAGCAATCAAATTACTTCTTAATAACATCCATTTATGAAAATGATCAAGAACAAATTTATAAGGATGATAAATAAATAAGAATTACTTGGATATATTATTTTAAACATATAAACAATAAAAATATCGTAAGATCATCACTTACATCAGGAGGAGTAAATATTTCTAAAATAAGGCCTGCACTTGTACTACATAAACAAAGACGAGACTGAGCCCACTGTGTGGTTTTCTTCTCAATTCCAGCTTCAGGATTATTCATCTTTTCACAATCAATACGAGGACGATGTGAATCAAAGTGTGGACCAAGCCACTGCATCACAATACCTTCACGAACTAGTTCAGCATTTAAACTTACAGCAGTCCCAGGAGAACGAGGATAAGGACTGATATATGTTCGATTGAAAACAGAAAAAAATAACGTCCAAGTAGCCGATAAGAATTAGGCAATACGACAATAAATCTCGTGATTCACCTACTCTATATTTGTAAATTGTGAAAAAAATTAAGCTATATTATCGGTGACATTAGTACATGAGGAGATGCCGATAAAGTGCCGTCTTTTACAGGGTTAATGGAAAGCTTTAAACTACTTTACAAACGCGTAACATTACGATATTAAAGAATAGGTGATTTGGAACGTATCATCGCTAATACATGACCTTCACTTATTTGTTATCTGTGTTGTGCAGCTTAGAAAATCGATCGCTGACATGTGTTGAAATAAAAGGTTTGATTAACAATTGTTAGCTCGTTTCTTGTTGCAGAAACAAACTACCAGTTCATTTACCATAATGACGGGACAGATAACAGAAACGCGTTTTATTATTAACCAGTTGAGAGCTGATTTAGGTAAATATCAATCAGTTTTGGTTGTCAACATAATGACACCGCCCCACAGCTATCAGTGTGAGACGAAACCAACTAGTACAACTTGGTTGTGAACATGTATAGATCACAATTATTGAAGTTGTAGGTGCTAATGTGCAATCGATTCCTACCCCAACGTTTGTGGTTAGCCAGAGCAAAAATACTAAGATCGCTAAAATGACCAATTTACTAATAGTGACAATCACAATACAGTGCAACACATTTACTACACGCAAAACGTTATGTGGTAGGGCTACACAGTCAGATGAATTTTAAAGGTTAACTGTAATGTTTAAGTGTTTAAAACTAAGTAAGTGGAAGGATTCATAAATTGAAGACCACTGGGTTATGTAACAAGCTTAGAACTTGTTCATTATTCGTAAGATAAAAATCATACAAAAACACTCCACCAGTACGAAGCAAAACCGATAACGATAGCATTAATGTAGTGATCCGATCTTGCTTGAATAGCTGATCACCCTATGATTATAAATACACTCTAGCTTAAATCTCTAAATTTGCTTTCATTTTCTGAGTGTGCAGATTCTTTAAATGAATTGGCAAGTTGAACTAGTCCTAATGGGCTGAATGGATGAAAAAGGTTGATTTGAAAACTAAAAATCTATACTAAAGACATGCAAGATTCAATAATACTCTTTACGGGAAGAGTAATCCATTTAATTAATGATTAAACAAAAAGATTCTCACCCCCCATATTTCCCTCCAGAACTGTCTACACTAAGAGGTGATCTACGACGCCAAGCGATTGTAAAACTACGTCGAAGCCAGAGGGAACTCAGGCGCCAACTAGGTTTGACTTCCGAAACACCTTGGTTTATTGACGAATCTGTGTGGAATCTTGTTTGTTGCTCTCCTAACCAGTGGTGTTTTTGATGAAAATCTTGCTGGTTAACCGAAGGCTGCCGACTAGAATTTTTGTTGGGAGCACTTCTTGAATGTCGAGTTCTTGAAAAGATATTCTTTGAGGCTTTATCTGAAGGTATATCACAGCTCTTGCCACGAGGTGAAGTGTTGCGAACCCCTGAGGCAGCCACAGCCTTGGACCGTGCGGCCGCTACTACAGCACTGGCATTAGCATATGCAATGTGGGAAAAATTTTCACTCAATTCTGTGGAGGAAGAGTTTATAGATAGGTTTTCTTCTTTGAAAGACAAACGTTCATTCGTATTTTTGAGATCAGTACCTAGTGATATGAATGGAAAATTTGATGACTAACTTCAGGAATAAACTTTGAAATGCAACAAAAACAAGTGACACCACATAACTACCACATTAAAATCATTTACTAATTTTTAACCTTGGGGCAAGTTACTTTGACAAAATACACTATCTTTTATAATTACCTTATTACATGCAATTGAAAGCATCATGTATTTATAGAAACAGGCATCTCTAAAGCTAAAAATATGTAATGAAGATAAAACAGCAAGGTTAGTGAAAAGTATGTAAACATTTAGATGTGAAGAATGAACCACGTCTGGTTAAGAGATCAGCTTTTAGCCGGAAGTCAACTATGGTACCACCATGACTGTCACGGCTAGTAGCTTTATTAACTTTCCCCGGTTTCGAATAGAAAGTTACCACTAAGAGTGAAATAATATTCTGTAAGCATTCATACCGAAGTATATGGAAAAGTCAACCATAACAGACCTCAAAAATATACGATGAAATCTGTTCATATCTTTACATAATCCTGACATGTTACGGATTTGTTGACTTGACAGTCTTGGTAGTTTTCACCATACTTACAATACTGTTTACCTATAGTAAGAAAATGAATCTCTAATTTTTTAATATTGCACATAACCGTAATTCATGTCAATATAATGAGGGAACAAAGCAAGAAATAAGATGAATTAGGCTGGAACTTTAAGACAATCTCCACAGTAAGGTGAATATCTGAAATTGGGCTTGATTAAGACATTAAAATTTAATCTATAGTGAAAATATCCTTTCATTTACTAACATGTGGTTACTTGCTTACAACCATAGTTTGACAATTATGAGTGTTAGGGTAACAGTAAAAGTACCTGACAACCTCACGACAATAAATCTAGACGAGAGCAAACGACTGGTTCGTTATACATTGTCTAACACAGTAGTTGAAATAAAAAAACCCTTAAAAGACTGTACATCTAACTAATAAGTATTTCAACAAGTAAAATAAGCGAAGAAATATATTTTGGTAAATTAAATCAGTGAATAAATAATCTTCAATAAACGTAGGCTCTGTTTACGACTATGACAAAAAAACACTAATCACATAAAACGCGACCAAGTACCTGTTTTTGATGGCTGTATTTCGGTAGGCTTATTTTCCCGCACAAAATAGCAAGGAGATAGAGATGTTTCAAATTTGCGACGCATTTTTTTAAATATAATTTCCAAAAACTCCAAAGCACAACCAGGTTTGTCATCATGACGATTATCATTTAAATAGGCCTTGAACAGCTGAAGTGCTTCAATAGACAGTCTGACGCTAGCGACCGAACAAAACTCACTCCATGTCTCCTCACGAGTCATAACAGAGGATGAAGTCCGCACCTCACCAGACAACCTAATCTGTCCGGAATATGGAACGGAGTACGAAGTATCGCAAGCAAACGATAGAGTTGCGAAAACACTAGCACGTGGTCCAATATCCAATGATTTCAAATGGTTCAGATGGTTCAAATGGTTGTGGACGGAATAGAGGAAGCTTTGGCTTAACAGGCTTCTGTGTCTAGTAGCAGGGGATCATCAAATCCTTCAGGCAGGAACCTAGGTATGTTAACAATAAAAGAGGAAAAGAAATTAGTAAATCATAGTGTGATACTATCCTTAGTCCTTAAGAATAAATAAAGTTGCCTCTTAAAGGACTCTTAGGAAGTCGCTTGGACTAGCTCAGCGGGCAGCGAATTCCAGCACTTGACAGCTCTTAAAGAATAGAAGTTGTATCTACAGTCCGTTCTGCCAAGTTGTGTCTCCAGTTTTTGGGTGTTACCTCTTAGATTAGTATTGGAATTAAGCTTAAGTAGGTGTTTGAGAGGATGTCCAGAAGTGTTAAGGATACTATAAGCCATCAGAAGGTCACCTCTAAGACGTCTATACTCTAATGGGTAAAGGTTAAGTGAATGGGGGCGCACTTCGTAAGGTTTAAATTTGAGTCCTCGAACTGAATTCGTGGCTCTCCGTTGGATACGCTTCAGGGTGTACTTATCCTTTTGGAGTGAGGGGGAAATACTATTTTTCCGTACTCTAAATGGGGACGGATAAAACTATTGGAGATTATATGGAAAGTTCTTCCGTCAAACTGTCCAAAAATGCGCTTCAATGTTACCAGTGCAAGGTTTGCTCGGGAGGCATTTTTGTTACATTTGGCATAAGACTTTAAATCGTAGGGCACCAGGACTCCTAAATCTTTTTGGACTTGGGATACTACTAGATAGGAGTTTCCTAAGTTACAACTGTAGTCTGCGACATGTCGAAGATGGACAACTTTACACTTTGAACTGTTAAAGGTTAGTCCGTTATCATCTGCCCAACTATGAAGTCTAGTCAGATCCTCCTTAAGTGCCTGCATATCGTCTTGGTTGCGTATCTCTCTCCAAGGTTTCACGTCATCGGCGAAAAGTATTAAGTCTGACATTACCTGTTGAGGACGATCATTTATGTAGATCAAGAATAGAAGAGATCCTAGTACTGAGCTCTGGGGACCCCACTAGGACATTCCATAGTCTGAGATAAAATGAAATTAACCCTGACCTTAAAATGTCGATTTTTCAGGTATGTAGTTAGCCAATCGATTAGAAGTGGTCTGATACCCAATCGTTTGAGCTTGTTGATAAGACATGTATGGTTAACTTTATCAAAAGCTTTTGAGAAATCTAGGTAGATGATATCAACCTTCCCTTAGTGATATAGGATGCTTGTTATTAAAAAATATTTTCACTTGATCATTTCTAACGAACATAGTTAATCGATTTAGGACGGAAGTTCAGTAATATTAATTCCCTTCAAAGCTTTCTCACTTAAACCCTGAACATTGTAGAGCAAAAGTAGTTAACTAATAATCCTTCAGCGATTGTGTCTTGATTATAGGGAATGGATCTTAGAAATAGAATGATGACACCCTTATCTTGATCCTTCAGAAATTCAAAAGAAATAAAAAATAAACAGGCATTTGGATTGTAAGAAGTGCTTGAAAAACGCGAGTGCATGTGACAATTTCGTGTGGACGTTTAACCCAAACTTAATTAGTTGATGTGAGTCTAGTAGTGACAACTGAACAACCGGAAAAGCTTCATCAAAGTACTCGGCTTTAGTCCTTTGTGAGGTGCTTAACCAAGTGTTTGTAACAGTGATGATATAGGGGCAGATAAATCCTAAAAACAAATAGTTCTGTATGTCTTCCAATTAGATACTGACCTCATTAGTTTTAGTGGACACAACCTGGCAGACAGAGCTCGATCATGCCACCTCACCAGATCACCAGTGAATACGTCGTGTTATGCATCCCTTGCAGCCAGCTTAGAACAAATATTTCTCGATATGTCTATAGTTTTCCACATATATTTCTGAGCCTCATCATTTCTGACTTCTAACTTGAGTGCGCTGCTATACTTCGATTATAAAGGTGTTACATGTAAAGGCATTGTCAAACTCCGAATGCCTGTGGCATCTTTAGTGTTGAACCCTGAGTGATCTGATACTTCGAACAATGAACTGTGAGTCTGTTCCTTGTTGTAGAATTATATATATAGCATATTATGATATTATTTCTGTTTTCAGATTCTTACCCATGTTTATCTATTTTTTATATCCTAACACATACTCAAGCCTTCAGGAGTCAAAATTCTTACACCTCCTATCCTTCTATTCAAGCCATTCTGGCCTAACAACATCGAAGCCTGGTTCTGATGTAAGGAAGCTAAGTTTCATGAGCATAAATCCACGTGAGTGTAGTAGCATTAAGCCCTAACCACACAATCATTAAGGGTGAACGTGAGACAATTCGGGAAATAGATATTCAACATTTAATGTGGAGAAAAACCCAACGATGGTGAAGGCGGGAACAAGGAATTGAATGGATTCGAATTGATCGGATGGCATGGCTTGGCCTCGCAGGTGTGGTCCTTGTTGAATGTTATCTTATATATTTTACTCATATTCAATATTTTGTTCTATCTCCAACCTGAATGTGTTCTCCACCATATATTGGTAATTGGTACGATACGATGAGTTTGTGTATACGATGATGTGACCTCCACGTAAGGTGTTATAGGCTAGGCAATTACATCATGACAAATCTACGATTTTAGGAGCAGTACTAATATCATAGTATACCATAGATCTACAAGTAGTTCCTTTCAGTAGTAAAAGCATGACCACGCGAAGTTAATAGGTTTGTCACCCTAAGCATGTTTACCTGTGATGTTTCTGAACCTTATGGAACTTTAAAGGAGATAATTGTTTAACGTTAGGACATAACTGATCGGCGAAAATTAGAACACCGATTTCACATTATCGGATAGCTACACAGCTTGACAACATATGTATTGCTATGTTCGTGGAAGTCACTGGTCGGCGAACTTTACCGATTGCATCCCTAAGCAATTCGTCTTATCTAAGCTTCTAACATTGGCACAAACGTTTGAAAAATAACGCCAGAGGTGAAATGGCTACATGTATCGGTCACATACTGGAGGACACCAGAAACACCGGCATCAGGGATTGTCCTGTTAAAGGAAGGCCTCGGTTGACGCAAGACAAAATGACAAACCTCATTAGTATTTTTGTTCGCTTACCACTCAGTATGATCGCAGACAGTACAAAGCTCTCAAAAGATGCCCATCTAGAAAACGATCTGCTTCTAGACCACGAGAACCAGATGATACTGATTGTGGTTTGTACTGCAACAATATGCCGTTTGTTTGTTGGGATCCATCACGTGGTCTTTCTCATCTTGAAAAATTCGTTGAAGTACTAGAAGCAAGCAGTTAGACATAGATTGTAAATAAACCCATCAGAGAAACCGGCCTACTAGAATTAACTTCCATACTAAATGCCCCAAAATTTACTAATATACTAGCCTTGAGTTTCAAAGCAGTGATCACAAAGTTGTAGCCTGTAATCTCTTTGTACGAAAGTACTCCCTTACTTCTGCTGGAAAAACGTTCTTGTTGATCATATCAGAAATGCTGCAAACACCGAATGGTCATAAACCTGGCATCAAAAAATGCGTGAGGGAGCGAGCACGCTTCTGTGTAGGCTGCCAGAAATCTAAGGTGATTACACATAACAAATGTACTTTAGGCTCGTTCAAAGCTTCGGACGCTGGTTTCGACCATTTTCATCTGAATTTGGTGGGATCTTTACGAGATTCAAATGTATACTATTATCTATTAACTTGTGTAAACTGTTTCACTCGACGGGTGGGTATCGAACCTCGGCTGCCAATCAACCATCTCTACAGACCGTGGACGCCGGTTCGAATACGAACTTTTCCGTTGCCTGACTACACCAACGATTCATAACAACCACCTAGGACCCACACACAAACGTTTCATAGTGGACCAACGCCCTTCCATTCGTCTTACTTGGTATTCGGAATGCAGTGAAAGCCGACATTGGATGTGCTGCAGCTCAACTCGTTTATGGAACGACACTTTAACTTCCAGGAAACTTCGTGGATCATTCATCTTTTTCAATGAATATGGATCTAAATTATTACAAGAAAAGTCTTACAAACGTAATACCTTCAATTAATCCTGTTTCCACACAACTGCAGTCAACTGATTTTTTCTTTCAACCTGCCTTACGATACAGTACACACACCTTTGTATGTCACTACTCACTCCGAAGACCTCTCGAAACAACATACAACGGACCCTTCAAAGTTCTTCAGCGTGATCCTAAGTACTATGTAGTCGAAAGAACGGGACTAACGATACCGTCAGCATCGATCGCATCGAAGCAGCTATTTAAAAGAAATGAAACATTGATGGTATCTGACAGCAAACTCAAAAGAGAGCGTTTTGGAAGAAAAGTAAGATTTCTAGAGCACCTAAACGACTACTGCTCTGATCAAAATTTTTTTCTTTCCATTTTTCTTTGTATTACTCTTAAAAACAATCCATTGTGGAGATGGACCCGACAAGCTTATTTTGTAAATAGTTTTCAATGTTATTTGTATTTGTCTTGTCAGCCTTTCACTGTATGTACATTTAACATTAAATGACTGCAACTGTTGTTTTAGTAAATGACCTTGAACACACTTTCCGTTGTGCTACTACATAGCGTGACATACCGCTGTTGGCTAACAAATACAATGCTTCTCACACACTCCTCGTTCTATTTTCATTTGTGATTGAGCTAACTGGAGTCTAACTCAAATAGTATCTTCATTTATAGACTGTAATCGGAGTATATCACATCCTATGTTGGACTATATCACTAGAGAGTTCGCCAACCTGCTCAGAATCAACAAACATTTATAATTGTGGATTTACTTCACTGGACCTAATCATAACACGCAACGTCTGATCAATTTAAGTAACGTCCCTAATTTTTATTGTATTTGTAACAATTAATTATATATATTAATATTACTATTAATTTTTAATAACT